TGTGTCTGTCTGTCTGTCTGTCTGCTTGAGTATTTTATTATCATATGGCTGTCACCTGCGCCGCTGTCGCCATGCACTTTCACTGATAACACAATAAGTGGAAAACCATTTTACCTTTTGGCTCATTAATTTTTATTTTATTTTCTTTCTTTCTTTCTTTTTTTTTTTTTTTTTGAAAAAATGACTTATCAGTGTGTGTTTAAAATAAGGAGCTTCTTTACTTTGAACTCAAAATGTTCAGTAGTTTCCAGCTTTTTGGATTAGTTAACATTCAGTCCAGTTCTCACAATTTAATAATTTCACAATTTCAAAACATTATGGCATTGTACCATAACTTCAGGTCTGTCAGTTGATGACTGGCTACACACAAGTCCTAAGGACAGTGGAGTCCAGCTCACGTCCACAGCAGATAGTTATGGTGGGCAGCCAGTGGACACCAGGGATGGCTTCCTTCAAGGACACCTACATGGTGGATCCCCTGGTCATCATAACCTCCAAACTGGAGGCATCCATTTATGCTGGAGTAAAGCAGGTAATGACATTTTTGTCAAGTTAAGTTTTTGGACTGTGGTGTTAGAATATCAATTCTGGTATAAAGTGATGTCTTAAGCAAAACCGATATAGATTAGTGTCTTATGCTTGCATGTACACACACACGCATGCACGCATGCACACATTCATGCACATGCATGTACATGCACGCACACACACACACGCATGGGCATATGTTCATTTTTTAATCCACCCAATATATGTACTGTATTTCAAATTTTGCAAATGATGCCCAGATAACTAAAAACTAAATAAAATCATATCACTGTATTTTCTTTTTTAAGCAAGAAAGACTTATTTCACTGTCTCTAAATATTTAATTAATTACTTATTGTGAGTAATGCTATTTCCAGAGTGTGTACATGTGTGTAGCTGCTCAGAGAGACCAACAGTTGCTTGGTATCCTCAACACATTTGTTCTGCAGGACAAGAAAGCCATCATCTTCACCAACTCTACCAGAGATGCCATAGATCTCTCCCAGGTAAGGATCAGTATGAACACATGAATTTTGATTTTGCCGGGCATAATGGTTTATTGCAGCAACCCCTTTCCTTATGTTTGTTTCAAAGAGTTACCGATCAAAAGGATATTGTAAAAATATATTTGTTCAAACATGTTTTGATTACAGTAACTTTATTTTGTCACTAAACTTGCACAAAGTGGTTTTAATTCCAAGTAAAAAGTTTTCTTTATAGTTATTACAAATTTGGTTTAAAAAAACAAAATCTTGTAGACTGGTTTGAGGTAAAAATGGAGTATAATGTAATTGTAAATCTAGAAGTTGGTGTAATAAAAATTAATCAATTTTGTATCACTGTTACATCTGGGTGATCAATTCCAAAGTTAACATACCATTTTGTGTAACCAAAAGATATTTATTTAGGAATGATCGTTACCTGCTTCAGGTCCTGAAAAGCCAGAGCATGTATGTGTTAGTAGCTCACAAAGAGCTGTTGTCAGATCAACTGGAGGATATTCAGAAAGATTGGAATATTGACCACAGAGAGGGGTCCAAACCCGTGTTAAGTAAGCACACACACACGCGCGCTCACTTGTGCACACGTTGTCAGATGAGCTGGAGGAACTGATTAAAAGAGCAGCAAAAAACTCAATGACATTGAAGTGGCTCTACAACTTGCCACATGTTTTTAATTTAATATACAGATTTTTCGTAAATTTTATGAATAAAAATAGAACCCAAAAAAAAGCAGTGACATGTTGGCATGGCCCTCATCCTCGTTTGTGTAAGAATCTGTCTCTAACATTAACATGCAACTTGCCCCAGTAGAATTGAAGGTGAAACAGAAAAAAATTATATTTTATATTATATAACTGTTCAGTAATTGGCTATAATATCTGCTTAGGTCAGTAGATGTTTTAACCCTTGTGGCTTGAAGGCTGAACAGGTTTTCGTACTAACATAAAATCATGATAATATTTTGCATTGCCAAACATTTATCAGGTTTGAGATTTTTTGGTTCAATTAAATTTCTCCTGTCTTCCAGTCCTAACAGATGAGTGCATCAAGGAGCTTAAGCTGGCCAATGCCACATGTATCATCCACTTCTCCCTCCCTGACACCAAGAAGGCTTTTGTGAACAGATATGGATGCATGCTGGAAAACTTCAAGAGGAGTCAACAGGAGGAACAGGTGAGGATGTCCTCAAACTCTTTTCTATCATTATTAACTGTGTCATCATAGAACTCTGCACAGAGGTCCCTCATACTTACTGGCATGTTATACAAGCAATTCTAGATTGTGCATATCTCCTTATCATCACCAAGGAAGATTTTAGTACTGACTGAATTGGTATACATGCCAAGCAATCCCTGTATCATTACTTTCTGTATCGTCATTAGTAAATGGAGAACTCACTGTACACTTACAATACATTTAAAATGCAATATCCAGATTGTCCTCACCTCCTATATCATTGTGAGGAGAGATCTCATTTGAAAATCATACACATACATTCAATTCCAGATTGTCCTCACCTCCTATATCATCATCACAGATCAGTGTACAGAACAAGCTCAAACTGTATTACAGCTTCTACTTAGAACTAAGTCTTATGTGCCAAAGAAACTGCAGACCATGGTAGAGGATGTCAAAAAGGTGGGTCTGCTGGTTCAGTTTCAGTTTAAAAGTTTAATGCAAGGCATAAAGCGTATCCTGGGATTTCACCATTATAGAGGAATCAAAGTAAGACAAAGAGCTGTCATAATGATTATTTTCTAAATTTTATTTCAACAAGAATTGATTTCAAGTAAAATTTATTATTTTTAACCTTAACTACTAACTAGCAATCTTATAGAAGACTGGAATCCCAGCCAACGTGAAATCACAAAATTATACTTATTGTCACTTTTAAAAATTTATTTTGTCTTCATGGTTTGATTAACCTTAGGCCAAAGAAGAAGAAAAGTCAAAACCACTGTGCCATTACTTGAAATCATTTGGAGTTTGCCGAGAGCCCCAGAGGTGTGAGCACCGCCATGTTGTAGTGAAGGAGCAAGATACGCCTGGCATCTCGAAGCACCATATCAGTCTGCCCACATCCGGGGAAGTCAAGGTAAACTGTATAGTTTGCACAGAATTGTACCATTGGAGAATCGATTGCTGCAGACCATATAAGGGAACGCAATTGATATGAAAAGTGACAAAGTGATTATTTTTGCTGCTTTATTCATAATTATATGTCAGAAAGTTCCCAGTTTGAATACAAAAAAATGGCCATTATAAAAATATTGCAATTTTTTTAAAATTTCATATTATTATCCTATATTTTTATTTGTACAGAGAAACTGTATCTGTATCTATCTGTCTATCTTCTATCAAGGTCCTTGTTACCCATGTCATTGACAGTGCATCATGTTTCTATGTGCGTCTCCAAGAGCTCCGCAGTGAGACAGAGGACAGTTTCAAAGCAATGGCCGCCGCCTACGTACAACTGGTGTTGGACATGAACATGTGGTTTCAAGTTAAGGATAATCAAATTATTCAAGGTGAGTATACAGATACTGATGGTTATTGAAAACTATCAATATTTATTCATTTTATTTTCTGATATTTCAATTTTTTAATAAGTATAATTTTTATTTAGAAAAATTCATACACAGTTTATTTATTCTTATGCTTCTCTTGTTTGGAAATCATCTATTTTAGCTGCTCACAAAAAGTATACATGAAACCAGCTGACTTTACAAAGCTTTTAAGGCAACATTTTTTAAATACATTATAATAATTGCTATGTAACAAAGTTTCTTAAAATATAACTAAGTTAAATTCATTTTGTAGGAGTTGAGTGAATAATTGTTGAAACACTCCCCCCCACACACACACACCTTAGTTCACCATCTCCACAGACTCCTTATTCTAGAAATATATCAGTGTTCCTAATTCTGTGATAGCAGAGTGGCTTGTGCATATTGCCATAGTGCAGAGGCTTAATACTCAGAGTCAATATTGAAACAATCCGAGTATTATTAAATTGGGATTCCCAGTCACTCAGTCAGTAATTGAAGTCACTAAGTCACAGCTTCATGTCTCAGATGGCAATTTCATTTAATACTAGGCCTGGTGATGATTCTTCCTCTCCATTGGTTTTCTCATGTGGAAAGAATCTTAATAAAGTCATAGGTTTATATGCCCCGTTCTTTTATAGTAAATGGCTATTTCTCTTGACTTTGAAAAATGTTGTCTAAAATAATTACATAATATATTTATATGCAATAATTTGGAATTTAATGGATATGAGGGTGACAGTGTATTTTTTGGGGAAAATTATTGTTGAAGTTCTCTGAAAAATGTGAAAGTTAAATGTATTTGTCTCCGATCCAAATTATATGCATTTTAAAAATAAAAAATATCAGATGTATCTTTCTTGTGAAATTTGCTCGAAAAGTTATGTACGGTACTAAACACCAATATCTTAAGTCATTATTCACCTGTTGTAACATTTTATTTCAGATGAAATTTGTGAGGGAACAGTATGTGCTGTACAAGACAGTCAAAAATGCTACCACAGGTAAGACGCACAACACAGTTTTTTTAAAGATGATAAAAGTAATGTTTAGTCTGCAGTTTAATCTGTAGTATTTGAGCTTTATATTATATTTGCTTGATGTACAATTTTCTTCAAAATACTCCAGGCCTGCAAACTTAAAACAAACATTTTTTCAGATGCCTATCCTTTTTTATGTATGTTTATCCACATACATAAATAATTCAACCCAGTAAATTAGCCTTTACGGTGGATTCTATAACTGTGTTACTTGAAATGATTGGTTCACATGTTCCTTTCTTTTCATAATATTTCTGACACAGTCCTTGTCCTCCCTAACATTGTTGGCATGGTCCCTGTCATCTCTCATACTGCTGGCATGGTCCCTGTCATCCCTTACACTGCTGACATGGTCCCTGTTGTCTCTCATACTTTGGGCATGGTCCCTGTCATCCATTATACTGCTGACATGTTCTCTGTTGGCCCTAATACTGCTGACACGGTCCCTTTCACCCCTCAGAATGACATTTTTTGTTTCCTTTTCACCACAAAACCAAGGACACATCTTTCTATAGATTCTCATGTGAGATTGTCTTATTTCTGACAGCCTCAACCCATACACAAATGGATTGATGACAGAATTAAGTAGAAGTATTATGAAGGCAATTATAAGGAATACTAAAGTATCTAAACTGTTGTTGTTGATAATTGACCCAACAACATAAGGGCACCAAAAAACAACAAAGGTTGTAAAAAGACAAATGCATGTCTTAGCTAGCTTCAGCTTATTGGAAGTTCGCTTAGCCTCTTGTGTAGAGAATCGTCGCACATTCTTTAAGCTTTTGGTGACCTCCTGCAGGACCCGAATGTTGAGAAACAAGGTCACGCAACCCACTGTGCCGACCACTGCAGGCAAGATGTACATCGTTATCCTCTTTTCATTGACAAAATAACACAGATCTGTATTGGGTGAGATTGCAGTCTCTATCAGACTAGCGATCGTTTCTAATTCTCCGAGTATAATGGAAATCAGCCATGACAATGTGTTAAAGATGTACATCCTGCGTTTTGTGACTACAGTGCTGTACTGCAGAGGATAAACTATGGCGATGTGTAGGTTCAGAACAAGTCCAAATATAGTAAGTATGGATGAGAATAATGCCACTTTAGGAATGTCAAACAATATGTTTATAATGCAGTAGGATGATGCCAGGTTGCAGATGATTATTTCTATAAAACGTTCTATTCTGTTGGCCCCTGCTGTTTCTATGACCGTCAATAATGCCATTAAGCATATGATACAGTACAAAATAAGGTCTGCTATGGTCAGATTCAGGAGTAAAATGTGGTATGAATTCATCACTGGCTTGATTCGTTTCACGGCACAGAATGATAGACAGTTGATGAGGATTCCTATGGCACAGAAAACTATGACACCTATCGCTATAAAGAGAATATTGTCAAGTCTGTAGTTCATGATTTCTAGGTCTCTTTGACTGATGCTGGCGCTGTCATTGCAGATGAGGGTTATCCATTGCTGTGTGGTAGAAGCTGTGATTGTCTCATCTGTTGTTTGCTCCCAGGTCATTGTGATATTACCAGATTGGGATAGACCCTGAACCTCCATTTTCATATGTCATGTAATAAAGAAAAGAAATAAAGTAATAATTTTTAAGTTGAATAAATCACAAGTATTTTTGTGACATTATCTGTAGACTATGTACTTTCGTGTACATGGCAGAATACCAAACTTTTCACCAATCTCTTAGAGAATTCAGTGAACTATTAATCTGTCCATTCAGATCATCACATATCAAAAATACCTAGAATTATTTTCACTTCACTATTGGAGAATGGCACGAATGAAAATGAGAGAGAATTTTTTTCTAAAAAAGCTAATTTTGGGGGCAAGCAACCACTGTTTCTGTCATTGCATCTCTTTTGATTACTTTTTTTTATCACAGCAGTGGTTTTAATCCATTGTCACACTGGCATGCATTTATGCCAGACTGTTTTCATTGACAATTTCCAGTTCCCTCTAGAATTTACTGTCAATCACAGACAGTTCAGATTTCAGCACTGGCCATGATCCTGTATTCATTCCCCTTAATTGAGATTATAATGACTGTCATGATACTAACCTATGGGATACACTAATGATACATGGTCATTGGAATAATTATGATGATAACCTAGATGTAAGAGTCCTTATCTGCTGGTATCACCACTCATTTCTATTTTCATGGGTCTTTGAAGAATTAACTGATCAGAGACAGGTGACCTTTAGACAATGGCCACGGTCCTGTAATCACTCCTCCTTGTGATTATAGTCATGTTATTAACCTATGGGATGATATTTCGTCATTGCAGTAGTAATAATGATAACCTAGTAATAATAATGATAACCTAGATGTAACAGTCCTTAGCTGTTGGTATCTCCACTCCATCCTGTTTATCTGACTATAGTCCAAATTGTGATACTCTGTGTTGTATAATTTGTGTCCAAAATAGTTATAGAAGTTATGGATGACATCTGATTCATACAAAATACCGTAAACAGTATTTTGTCACAGTATTTTTTTTCTGTGATTGAAATTAGTTTTATGTCCAGTTTACTCATGTGTAGTGACTACAATTTTTCATACTCCATAGAAACTTTGCATGTGAAAAAGGTAAACTTCACCAAGAATTCCACAGCCATAAAATCATCACATTAAAAACTCATGATCTGTGAGCTCCTTACTGTTCCTTTTTGAAGTGGCTTTTGTTACAGCTCTCTTTTCTGCTCCACACTAACAGCTCTATCCCTTACAGTATAAATCCAATTGATCATGACTGTTTCACACAATAATCGGTTCCTTGTGTCCTGTTTTTATTGCGAAGTCATTTTTTCTTTTGATCATTTTCTATCTCTGTTCTATCTTTTACATGTCGTCCTGATAAAATTGAGTGAAGTTGTTCAGTTTTTCTCATCACTTCACATCTGCCGTATAAACTAAGCACAATATTGTTACTTATTACATCACATTGTCATTTTAAGTCCCTCTTACATAATCTGTGGAAATTGTCCTTGTTTCATCTTCAAACAAGTCCCAGTTTTTATGGTAAGATGACTGATTACTGTACAGAATTCAATATTGGAGTTTCAAGTTTGTCTCATTACTGCTCTTACTAACAGTACATTGAATTCCTGACATCAGTTCAACACAAGTGGTAAAGAGGGGAGAGAGGGTGAAACTTGGTGTGTGACTAGGGAAACTGAACTTTTGTTAGCACTAAAGCATACATGAGTGAGGTTCCCATGGGTATTTTCATGTGAAAACCACTTTTTATTTTCCAAAATGTATGTGAAATGAGCACAGGTCTCAAACTACTGCGCATGTGCGAAATGTACGCTGTTTGAAATAAACAAATGGTAAAATTGACAAAGCCTGCCAGTGTTTACCGTCTGGTTGATTTTATTTCATTAGCTCTCTGGTGTCTTTTTGAAAGTTTATATTAGAAATGTTCTATTGATTTTAAGTTGTAAAAAGTAAATCCGTCTGAAATCCCTAGAAAAAACATCTATTTTACCTTCATTTTAAGGGGATTCCCATTGTATTTATAGTGTTATATGTGGCCCCAATTGGGATTTTCACACCTCCCCCACTCTTGATTAATAAAATTCTTCATCTGGAGGAATGTGAATTACATTGCAAAATACATTGAAAATCGTAGGAAGGTTAACCGCAGATAATGCTGCGAGGATATTCTTAACAGTGGGGGAACTCGGCCAATATAAAATTTTTAACTTCGTTTTACGATTTTGGAGCGCCTGTTCTAATTTTTGAAAGCGAGGCAATAGAACCAAACAATGCGATACAATTTGAAATCTCGTAAAAATTGCTATTTATATATTAAGGTCATAGCATGGAGTACCTCGAAATGCGACTTGTTTATTATAATGACCTTAAATAATAATTAATATAAAACAAACGATATAATACGTTCTTAACGTTAGCCTATTTATTAGCTTAATTGATTTTTTTTCGTATTTGGAGATTAAAAACACAAAAGTTGTCTGGTTTCATATCGAGGCACTACGTTTCGTTCGTGTGCTTGTGAAATGATTATATCATTTAGGGTGATCCATGAAGCACCCCATTCCCATGACTTAAGTATGAGGCCTTTTTTTCTGCATTATTTGTAAAACTAAGTCAATATACTTGGCGCTTCATGATTTTCACCTAGCCAAACTGGCATTTTCAAAGAGATATGAATAAAGTTTTATTTACTGTGATTTGTAATATGATTTTATTTCCATGAATTGCCCCCTAGAGGGACCCTCATGAGTAGTGTGGAGTGAGGCGAAAGAGGGTGAAATGAGACATATAACCAGAGAAATAATTACTACATTTTCTCTTATTGTTTTATTTTGTTTAATTTTGTTTTTGATTGTTTTATAGATACATTTTTAGCAATTTTATGGTTGCCATGAAAGTGCTATGGTGTATATAATAGAATGTGCTAAAAGAAACGTGTTAAATTTCATTTGTCTTTATATTTAATGCAGATTATGTCATGTCCATTTATGTCCTATTTATAATATCTGCCAACCTCTGTGTTTTAAGTATGTGTGTGTAATATGTATGCATGTGTGTGTGTGTGTGTGTGTGTGTGTGTGTGTGTGTGTGTGTGTGTGTGTGTGTGTGTGTGTGTATGCTTGTGCGTGTTTGTGGAGGTGGGTGTGTGCATGCTTGGGAGAGGGAGTAGAACCAGTTCAGCTAAATAAAATTCACCTTTTATTGCCAACATAATGAATGGGACATTGCCTTTTCCTTTCTCACTTGTCTCACTTTGTACTTCTATTCATCTTTTAAGTTTCTATCTTATATGCTTCACTACCCTTTCATTAGCCCTGACAAGCTGTTTAATAAGGGATTTTATGTAATTGTGTATTTTCACAAATATTCACCATATATTGCTTTCATTGTGTTGCAAAGAGATGCCTTTCAATATTATCCAGGAAAATTTTCTAATTAAGAGGGGAGGTCATATCTTGATTGTGCAAAGCAGTATTTGTATTTGCTGTGCTCTTCATCCCATATTGTTCAACCCAATTGGTTTGTGGAGTTTCTGGTTATAAATTTAAGACTCGCATTTTGCCATTTTGTTGTACTGGGGTGATTTTCAGAGGTTAAGTTAAAATCTACAATTGATTTATGATTTATGACTCCAAACAAAGCTTTATGTAGTAATGGTGGAGCTGTACAACTGGTCAATCTGTGTTTCTTTCATAGAGTAATCAGATATCATGTGAATTTTAAATCCATCAATAGTACATGTACCAGCAATGGAGGCCTGTTGAGACAAGGGCCACTTGAGACTAAAGGTTGAAAGGAACTTCAGTTCATTTGCCAGACAGCGAAGATGAATTTTTTTTTTTTTTTTTTTTTTTTTTTTTTTTGGGGGGGGGGGGGAGCTTGGCTTTATCTGCTAGAATTAGAATCAATTTAGGCCCAATAAACATAGTTGTCAAACCTAAATGAGCTATTGTCACCTCTGAGAATAATAATTGTCAAGGCAATCACAAATTATTTTATGGGTTTAGTTAGGTGAACAATACAAAAACTAATAATAATAAATAGATAAAATAAGGGACCTTCTGGATTCTTTCTTAACCACAACATTGATGGCTAATTCTTGGGATGAATCTCATATAATTGGATTGAACTGAAAGTATTAGAAACATATTATTAGGAGAATTTCTGGTATGTGGGTTTTATGTCACTCAGGTGGGACTGAAAATGTTTAATCCATACAATTAGATGGAATGGCGCTGAGTGTAGTACAAAGCCTTGGGTTGAATTAATATGTAGGTAAACTTGACATGCTGATAACAATTATCACACACTTGAGCGTTATTAAACGCAAATGCAATTATAGTGTATGCTCTTTGGATTTGATCAGTCGATTCCAGGATTCTGTTAGATTGTTAAAGGAAAAAATCGGTGATGTATGGTTATCACTTAAAAGTTCAAAAATCTTCAGTTTTGTCGTATTTTACTTCAAATTTTTAAGTAAGAGTAATAATTTTCAGATATTCAGAACAATGTATCTTTTGTACAAATGCAACTCACCTTTCAAAACCTTTGAATCATTAATGTTATAATCATTATGAACAAAACATTAGAAAATATGAATCCATGTAATCTTAATGCATTGAGCAATTACACTGTATGTTGAATAATGGCTATGTGGTAGATGTATATTGTATGACTGCTCGTATTTAACATGAGATGATTCAAGTTTATAGACAAGAGAATAAAGCCGTGCAGTCTTGAAGGTTATATAAAGCTGCCATTTACACATTGTCATCTTTGAGTTTTTATCTGCCCTCGGTGTATTAAAAGTGGTTTTAAGATATATGTATTCAGAAAAAAAAACTATGGATGGAGTAACTTTTTTATTTTGATGTGAGTTTTGTTTTGTTTTTTTCAGAGTACAAATAACATGTATTCCACAGTCAGAGTTTGAAACTGTAAAGGAAGTCCAGGTAGGAATATGCATCTAAAAGAAAACACATGAAATATAAACAACATGTGATTG